TTGGAAGCAACGTCATTTTGTCATTCCAGTAAATGGCAACGAAGTTTGTGGCGGCTCTCGGCTTTGGCATGCCCCAGCTCCAGCCCCAACCCCGGCGAACTTAGTCGCCACATGGCAGGAATACAATTGCTTTTATGAAATTAAATTACGGAGCACATATTTAAACACTCCCAGAGGTTCAGTTGGCAGTTGCCGGGGAATGGCTGCAGCATCTACTGTAGTCAGCACAGCTTGACGACTCCTATAAACGAATCCTTCTGGAAGCTGCTGCCAACTGCTGACGAGAAATGCTTTAATGCGTTAATGTTGATTAAAAAACAATCTTTGCAAGTCTATGAAAGACACACATAAATCAACTCAAAACCCACTCACGAAAACTTATTTTTCCTATTAAAACAATGTTATGTTTGAATACATATCCATTAATATGGAATACATATACAGTAATATTTATAAATATTAACAAATGAACACCAAAAATATAATTAATTGAATAGAGATTAGATCCTCGACGCCTGAACATAAACTTTGTGTGCAATTAAAAAATAATAGCGACTTTATTTTTTACCTTTTATAAAATTTAACTTGTTTCATGGCACGTTCTATACTTCTTTTCTAAAACTTAACTTGTTTCATGGCACGTTCTATACTTCTATATTAATACAAGGACTTAAGCTTTTACAGGCGGTACAGGAAGCACTACAATTTTATATATTTTCTAACAAAAAATGTTTTTCTAATGAATCTTTTCAAGCTTCGTAGCTAACAGCCCACAAATAGAATATTATAATAGAAAAATTATTATAAAAAATTACAATAGAAAAAAATATATACGAAAACAGATGCTTAAATTATAGGTTTATATACCTATATTATATATACATTTTTCACATTCTGTTTCTATTCGACATGGCAAATGTCATTTTCAAAAGTTTTTTCGTCATATTTTGCGATATGTTTTTAAAGAACATCCATTAGTAAAGCTGTAGGAGCAAACCTTAACTTGAGCCTTTTTTTAACTATTCACTAACAAATTTTTAACTTCTTAGACATTTTATTTATGTTTTTAACTTAAGGACTCTTATGAAAAAATCTTCTAATTCTTTTGTTGTTTGTTATTTGAACAAATAACATTCCAACATGTAAAAGTAAAAATAAATAAATATTGCATTAGCTGTCTATTAAATGTTGTTTCTAAAGATTAAGCAGCAGCAGGTTGTTATCAGGATATATATATTTTAAGCTGAATTTAGAGGGATTACTCAATAATGAATCAATTTTTTATATAACCTGTATCAAATGCACATGTCTAGACTATATACATAAGTTGCGTGGTCATACTTCTTGCTTTGCAAGTCAATAAGCAACCTGAGCTAATGGAAATCAAAATTTTAAATGAATTCCTACTAGTGACAGCGACTCTCCGCTCCCCACTCCTCAGTGCCCACTCTCGGGTGGGCTCCCGCTCGGAGGTTGATGCCGCATTACAAACAATTCCACTTTAGGCAAGCAGCCGCAGCAGCTTGTGGTTGCACGGCAGGCGCCCAAACAAAATTGTGAGTGGTGGACAGTGGGCGTGGCAGCTACAAGTAAACTCACACTCACTCTGCTCAAGCACAAGCACACCTGACAGTCTGCACACACTATTTGCAGGCTTAGAACTTGTTTAGCAATTTGCAATTAAATCCCATTAAATTTGCAATCAGTGCTTGATTTGTTTGCCCAGGACTTGGCCCAATGCTTCGATATAAAATCTTTCGAGTCTTTTGCTTTTGCCTGCATGCGATGACTGTCTAGACAATAGGCATTCAATGATTCAATAGTTAAATTCCGAATTTACACACAAATAAGCAAATACCCCGCAACTGAAGCAAGGACGGCAATAAAAGCTTTCTATTTAGTTAAGTTATTAAATATATCAATTGCCATTTGGTAAATGACTCCAGCCTCTGGATAGCCCTTCACTGCGTAGGTATTGTATTTGTCTGTGGACTTCCTCATCCAACTGTTGGAATCAGCAAAGGTGTTCGTTATCATATTGAATTTGCCTCAACTCTGTAAGCAGTTCTTTAGCTACATCTGAATCTGTATCTCCACAACTGCAGCATCTGCCGTATCCGCAGCATCTGAATCTGCAGAGCATGTGTAATTAAGCAAAAGTTGATAATGTGTTGATTATTTGAGGTATTTACGCAATATCATGTTTTGTCTTCAATTTCTCGACGAATGTGCAAACAACGATAAACAATTTTATTGCTGTCTATTGCTAATTGTCATTATTTAATTGCTTTTACAGCTGTTCCAGAGGATGGAAACATTTCTTGCCTTTGTCTTTCAAGGCCAACTCTTTCTCAGTCTGAGCACGAGCCAAGAAGACTAGAATAATAATTTAAATTTGAGCAGACAATTTAATTGCTGACTTAACTATATTTGGCATTAACTAATGCTTAGCTGTCGATAATGTAAATTAAGTTTCGTAAATTTGTTTCTAGTCTTGTTTCCACGCAGCACTCAGCGTTGATGCGAACTTTCGTCTTTGCTTCTACACCTGCTTAAAGCAAACAACAAGAACTTCCACTTTAAGCTTAATAATTGCTAAAAAATATTAATAACAATTATTATTTTAGCTCACATTCTCTTGAAAATGAAGAAATTAACTCGACAGAATAAGTAGCAACAACCGACCCTATAAAGTATCTGTATAAAATATAGTTATGATCAGAAAAACTTTGTCTTGAATGTGGCTCTGCCTTTATCATTTGCAGCTCAAGTTTATTTCCAATCATCGATAGCTTTTCCATTACCACTAACTCAACTTGAATCGATTGCATTCGTCAGTAGGCTTATAGTAGGTTTATAGCAAACTTTAAAAGACCAGTAGCAGTATTTCAATCGGGAGTAATTGACTTAGATATACCCTATAACCCGCTATAGACCTCTTATAACTATTATCTTATTCTCTTATACATATTTTGTTCTATACATAATTAATATATAATTAAATTAATTATTATATAATTATATATAATTCAATTAAAAGTAATTTCGAAGTAAGGGGTCAGGTATCAATATTACAAGATATCAAAAATTTTTGTGAGTTCAAAGGGACCTACAGAGTACATTTGAAATCACTATCTTTTGTGGTCTTCAAGCTACGCTTTCTGTGTTTGGTAAACGAAATGAAATTATCTATTATATTATATATCCTCTATAATCGGAAAATAGCTATTGAGTCAAACTAAAACTTATTCTGCGTTTGGTATACAGAGAAAAACATTTAAAACTTAAGCTTTGCCTACCGACGGACATTTTAAGATAGACTCAGCTTTTTGTTATTATCAAGAATATATTTACCTTATGGTGTCTGCCCGCCTTTTCCTTACTCAACTCTGGCTGCAGCTGTAACTGGGCAATATTATTATAAGTATTAGGCTATCCTAAAGACTTATAAAGAATCCTCTTAATAGAGCGACGATCCTTATGTGAATATAGGGATTGAGCAATATACAGCATATACAGACTTCATTATCATTAGTTTGAGTTAAGTCAATAAAAACATGACGATACAAATTTTTTACTATTAATTGATTAAATTCTAGTTTCTTAATTTTTTTTCTAAGCCTAAGATGAATTCAGTACATATGAAATTTAATTTGTACAGCAGTAGTATTTATTGCAATTATAATTCATTGCTCTTCACTTTTGAAAGACTCCTTTTCAACTTTTGTTTTGAGCATTCTTTGGGTATTTTATTTAGGAACAAAACGAGAAATGACTCAATATACTCCTGCACTTGGAAACACGCAATCAGTTCAACTTTCAAATGCCAGCCACGAATTTTCCAGCTGCATTGTATTGTAATTCAAAACCCCTTACACAGGTCAACTGACAGCAGTTGGCGCCCAGCGCCAACGGGAACAGCAACACGGAAAACAACGGGAGGTGCTACGGCAGCAATAACGAATGCAATTGGCAAATGCCAGAAAGAAAATAGTTTAAGTGCAAAATTTTACGCTTTATCGAATTACCCGCGGGTGCTTTAACTTACTGCCAAAGTTTTTGGGGGGCAAAACTTGCGAAGCACGAACTGTGGGCGGCAAACAGAGTGGCTCGACTGGGGGACTAGGGATGTTTACAATTTATGATTGTAAGGTGTTGCAATGGAAACTAAGAGCAGTTTTTCGATTTCTTGGGTAAATTTGTTATATTTTCGTACTGTCACCTAGACCATTTATTAAATGAGTTGGCAAAGCTAATCGAAGAGTTATGGACGAAGCCGTGGAATTGGAAGAAATTGTGAATCACTTGAGCTGTTGCTGCATCCACGAGCTGCCTTGAACTGCAGCCAGCTCACCTTTTCCTACCTGCTGCTACTGCACTTCGTTTGGCCTATCCCTCCATTTGGGAACCGACTTGCCCCAACAGAATCTACTCACGGAGCATACGGCATAAGGCATGCGGCATTGGCCTGAACAAGTCCAAAAACCGGACCAATAAAAAAATAATTTATAACAAAGCGACACAAGGCGAGCGAGCGAGCATCCAGCAACAAAAACGTGCAACTAAAATTGCCCAAAATGCTAAAGTAAGATTTATGCAAATCGGAAGTAAACATTAATCAAACTTTTTTTGCTCTGCGAAACTCCCCCAACAGTTGCTGTTCTCGTTGCTGTTGTTGTTGTTGTTGTTGTTGTGGTATGTGAATGGCAGGCCTAGAAAAACATGGCATACTTTGCGGCGCCAGCAGCTAGATTGCACGCCAAGGATTGTGGGTCAGAGATACTCGTGCAACGAGCGGAAACCGAAGGAGGCAAAAAAACCTTGTACAGCTGGCCCTTCTTAGGGCACTTCTGAGTTTTTTTCAGCGTGAACTTCATAAATTACGACGTCATATGCCAAAAATAGTCGCACAACGGAATCTCATCGTCATTTATATTGAAACGTCAAATCAACGGGACGTGTGAGTTTTCTTCTCGTGCCAGAGTCTGTTTCGCATAGAAATGTTGCAGCTTAAGGCCAATGGGACACAATTCCTAGTTAGAGTTATGTATTTCAAAAACTAAAATAGACCACTTAACTACAACACGAAGCCGGCGTTGGATCCACACCAGAACGTTTTGTGATCGAGAGTCGAGTAAACTCTTCTGCAGTTGTGGGATGTATGCCAACAGTGTTTAGCAACGTCTTAACAGTGAGTCCCGACTTCAAAGCAGCGGCAAAGCCTTGAATAACCTCGCCAGCCACGGGCCCTATGTAGTGTAAGCCGAGAATCTTCTGGTCGCCGGACACCTCAGCCACAGCCTTGAGGTAGCAATGACGAACGCTCTTCTGTGGTATGAAAAACTCGGTGGGCTTGTAATACCCATGGAACACCTCGATATTCTCAGCACCGAGCCTCTCAATAGCCATCTCCTCGGACATGCCAACACAAGAATACTCCAGCGGGGTAAACACAGTGGTTGCCACATCGGTGTAGTCCATTAGCTGTGTCGAGCCAGCGAAGAGACGTCGTGCCAGCAGGCGGCCGGAGAGAATAGCCACTGGAGTCAGCTCTGGTCGGCCATAGATGATGTCGCCCACAGCAAAGATATGAGGCACACTAGTGGCCTCCGTGTGATCGGCTATGATTTTGTCGTTGTGGGTCTGTACACCAGCTGCGCCAAGATTGAGATCTTCGATTAGACCTTTCCGTCCAATTGCCCACAGGACCGTGTCGAAGACATCGCTACCATCCGTGTTGGTAGTCGTGTTATGATACTTAACAAGGAGTTTGCCATCCGTGTTGCGCTCTACCTCCTTGGGGATGGTAGTGTTTAAAAAGGTGATGCCACGCTCCGTCATCATAGCTGCCAGAAACTCGGACATTTGACGATCGAAGCCACGCAGTACGATTGAGCGCACCATGACTGTGGGATCATAGCCGAGACCCTTTAAGAAGCAGGCGCATTCGAGGCCCACATAGCCAGCACCCACGACTAAAGTACGGCCTGGCTCCTTCTCGTAGCTAAATATATCGTCGCTGGTGATGCCGTGCTCGATGGCACCCTTTATTGGAGGATATCGCGGACGTCCACCTACTGCTACCACCACGTACTTAGCAGTCAGCTGCTTCTTCTCTCCGTGCTTTTCTTTATATTCTATTGTATGGGGATCTACAAAGCTGCCTATGGAGTTCACATACTCCACGTTCTTGTCGCGCAAGTCCACGCGGGTCACCCAATTGACGGACTTGATGTGATTCTGCACAACCTTAATTAGCTTCTTCCAATCGGGCTTGATGTCGCGATCGTTGACATTCCAGCCATATGCAACGGCCTCGTGCACGGCTTCCCCCAGCAGCGAGGCCTGGTGCATCAGTTTCTTGGGTATACAGCCCACATTCACACAGGTGCCACCTACGCCCCACTTAGTGCCCGCTGGCGTCGGCTTAACAAAATCAAAACACAGAACACGTGCGCCAAATTCTACGGCCTCTTTGGCGCAGGCCAGTCCGGCAGAGCCACCGCCCAGAACCACTAAATCGTAGTCGAACTTGCCTGCGCTTCTCACCGAGCTTGCAAACCGCACAAGAAGAACAGAACGTGATGCACCCGAGCTTCGTAGTGCCTTCAGCAACATCATTTCTCCTCTGTATATGAGTCCGTATTTATTAATAGTAAAACTTGACAATTTGTAGCAATCAAGCTTGGTAGCTGCCAACTTGACTAGTATGATTCAAACTGGCTAAACAATCAAAACGCGCTGCCAACTTGATAAGGATCAATTGAATCTGATTAATACAAAACTGTGAAATCTACAGACTATTTGTTAGTCAGATATGTTAGAGCTCAGATTTGGTGCAAGCTTAATTTTTGCATATTAACGTAACTTATAAAATAGTAGCTTCGACTATTTCCTCTCGTTCTAATCGATAGACGCGTTAGTCACTGACCCGACTCAAATTGAGTTGGTCTGTGGGTCTCCGTGTGGTCTGTGTTAGTGACGTCCACATTTAATTTTCAGAATGATTTATATAATTTGGCCTTGGAGCAGTGTCAGATATCGGCCAAAATAAAGAGAAATTCGTTCGACTTAAAGTGTTGGCATTGCGCATGTTTGTCCTGAACATTTCAGCTCACTCGACACCTTTCTCTAAAGGTTTCACTTCAATCATGTTCTATAATATTAAGATATTCTGCGTGAATTCTGGCTAGGCTTTAAGCAAATAGGCAAAGGGTCGGCTACATACATAGTCCAGTAAAAATGGCGAAATGTCAGCTTCAATGATTTATGTTTCACCATGGACCATTTAGAATTCTGTCTGGACGATGGTTAGAAGCCTTCCGACACCGTCGCCCTGTTAGCCGAAGGGCCCTAACACCCATCTCCAATCAACTAAATGGCGATATGCTCTACTGCCTGACTGACCGGGTCTTGGCTGTGCATGCTTGTCCTAATTTCTAATCTAATATTTTTGCGTACGAAGAAAAAATGGGACCGAAACAAGCACAGAGAAATTCTTGGCCATGCCCGGTGTCTACTTTGGGTATAATTTACTTTTGCGGTTTGTTTTTGGTGCGTTTAACCGCAAATATTTAATGGATTTATTTCGGGACTAGCAGCCCTCAGCTGCGATTCATTTGTAAATGTCTGTGGACCTCAGTGAGTTTGTGAGTATTTTGGCATATTTATTAGTTGAACCGAACGACCTCGAATTTCGAGTTGTAGTTGCAATGTATTTTGCCGTGAATCGTGTTCGTACGCCCAAGATTACAGCATAATCTCGTGGTATATATGTGATTGTATAAATGTGTGTAAGTCTTGGCTATGCGACCCAGTTAGATGCATAAACAATAATTCAGGGCGAGGGCTCGTCGCAGCTGCCATCGAATAGAACAGCTTTTGTATGCTACATCTCCTGGCTTGCCACGGTGGGGCACAGACAGCCATGACGCATCACTATCGAGTCGACGTTGATCATCGAGTGAAAGGCATGACAATGGCATAGGTCAAGAAGCTGATGTCCTTTATCCACAATGCCCAAATCAGAGTCAATTCAAAAGCGTCCGATACTGTCCAAGTAGGCAGGCTGATAATTAGCTACAATGGATAGGTTAGGATACCTTCGTCGCAACTGGTAAAAGCGCCAACCTATTGATTTAGTAATTGAGAAGATCCATGGTGTCAGGGAACCCGTTGTACTCATCGGTGGCCTCTGGTGTCTCTGGAAGTTCAAAATCCACTATATATGAGAACTTATTGTCAAACGGAAGACTGAGCATGAAAATTGAGTTAATTTGAAATTGGGTTAATCTGTTTCATTAGTAACTAGAGGTTAATGCCAAGATTCCATCTATAATACGAACTATGCATTAATCATATGAAAAAAAAGGTCTTTGTAGACAAATTTAAGGTTAGCGTATGATTATTATATAATATATAAGCTGGGATCATTGTCTACTGATTATATCTTTAAGCTTTGCATGCACTGAAATTGTATGTCATATATATGTATGTATGAAGGAGACACATGTCAGATCCCATAAAGTATTTATTCTATCCATTTTCGTTGATCTGTCGGTCCGTTCATTCGTCCGTCGACCCAAAAAGCATAAATAGTAAGAGACTTGAAGTTTTCTGTATAACAAAAATTAAAATTGTACAAGAAATACATAAGTGCAAAAGAAAAATGTTGAGAAATGAATAACTGAATAATCGATAATATTTAAACGGGAATTGTTATCGATTAATTGAATCAAACTTGATCTGAGCGTGCTCTAGGCACAGTGCAGTTGCAAATATATTCCTTGTGAAAAAAGTTTAAATTCTTACTTAATTGAAAAATAATTAATAAAATCTGCGCTAAGCAGACGCGTTGTCTCAATGCAGGTGCACGCATACATTAAATAATGTGCAAAGAAAGCTGAGATTAAATTGGGTCTGACTTGTCAGTTGCTCCTTTAGTGTCGACTTGCAACTAGCAGCGATGAATGCGCGTTGCTTAAAAGCTGTGACTTCAACTCTTATTTTTGAAATATATTTTGCAAATATGCTTTAGATACAAGACAGAGATTTCTTCTTTTATATTTTTGCTTGACAAATTTGCTAATTGATTCTGAAGGTTCGATTTATGTAAGTTTCTAAGTCCAAAACTTTGAGAAGTAACAGCATTTTCTCATTTACATATGTTACATATAAACATATAGGTATGCATATACAAGTGTAACTGCGTGGGGTTCAGGGTTGTGTCTTGTCGGACACCCCAGACCAAAGCTTTCTTGTTTAATCTTATAAATATGTCATTCTTTGTCTTTTCAGGTAAGTGACAGATTGAGATACAGAGTGGAATATGCAAGTGACACGCAGGACTTGGGTATGATAAACTTAAGGTATATTTACATAATTCCAGACATTTTTATTAAAACAAGCGAGTTATTAGCTGGCATTTAACGACTATTGCCAATGGCAACAAGGCGCAAAAGTTTTATTATGAATTGTGAATACGCAGAGCCTGCTTGCAGGCGTAATGTGCTGACAATTGTGGGATTGCAGCCTCTTAGACAAACAAAACTTGGGCTATCTCGATAATTTCAACTTTAAAATGACCAGCCATGCCGTGGCAGAACTTTCAAGAAGTTGTAAAAATGCAAAAGTTTGCCCAATAAACATTAGGCATAACTTTCCTAGCGACTCACCTTACGTTGTTTGACTCTCCCTCGTGGCGTAGGCATAAAAGGGGGCTCCACCTGCCTAGCGACAAGCTTATCAAATTTTACAACTTTTTCTTATGCTTTTTTCGTTTCGCTTAAAATAAAGTTTATTATTGTGGCGGCGTATTTCAGTATTTTTTCTCTCCTCCTTCTCTTTTATATTATCTAAAAAATGCAGGTTTTGAGATTTGACCAAGTCCCTTAAAGCTGTTTTTGGCAAAACTCACAAATGGCCAAAATTCATCAAATGTTAATTAAATTGCGCCCAATTAGTTTGATTCACTCAACTCCCAGGCCTAAAGTCAGCCTAGCGACATCAAAAGGTGTTGGCTTCGTGCCCCAGGCGATGCTTAGCAAAAGTTAAGCAAAGGTCAATTGCTCCAAATGCCTAATTAACGCTTAATGAGCGACGGCGTCTGCGTTGATGACAAACTTTGCCTCGCACGCTCCAAGCAACTCGGGCAAAGAGTTCAGCTCAAAAGTCAAATAATTGCGAATCCAAGTTCTCATCCCCGGCCACTGACAGCCACAAAATGTGTTTCAAATCAGTAAAGAATTTTTCAATAAGCATTTTGGAATTTTCAAACACAAAGTCAATCATTTGATTGAATCGTTTATTTACTTTCATTGTTTTATACAACCTTCCAACGGCGTGTGTTCATATCAATAATTTGATGTAAGTGCTGTTCGGCTTTGTAAATTCGCCTTGAATTTATATTTGTTGCACAAATATTTAATTTAGTTTTCCTTTCAAGTCAGCTTTTCATTAGTTTATGTGTGGTTGCGTGTGGTTTGTGTGGTTGTGCGGAGCCACACACAAACAACTTGTGCACACAACTTCTTGACCAAATTGTAAAAAGTCTCCTTCGAGAGTTTCGCTTTGTTTGCCAAAGCCTTTTCTTAACTCGAAAACTATTTGTATTTTAACCTTTCGGCAGGAAATTTTTGTAATTACTTTCAAATAGGTCGACTTCGTCTGCTGCCCCAAGGGAATTCTAGTAAATGATGTTCGGGTTAATATTATATAGTTTATGTTTGTATAAGACTATAAATATAGCGCATTATTTGATGAGGCGAGGATGTTGTTAACACAAAATGATAAGCTTCAGAGATAAAACCAACAATCAGCAATCAGCATGCAACATCACATTAAAATATTATTAGCTTTATGTATAGTCAAAAGTTATTCTTTGATAATTTGAAGTAATCCATTCTTAAGTTGTCTTTAAGCTTTCTGTTGCCCGCACCATACTCTATGAGAACAGGACAGACGGTCAAAAAATGACATCGAATACGAAACTACAAATTTTGTTTAGCTCTGGTCATGGATCGAACAGCTGGAAAGTGCTTTTAATTGTAGATGAACAGTTTGCCCAATTACATGGCTTGTCCCGAAACGAGCTGAGGCAAGGGATGTGCTCAATGAGGCTAAAAAAAGAGTGTGGGCTTTGCATATTTTTCAGTTATGAGCCAACAGTGATAACCATAATTAAAACCAAAGCAACCAAACAAATTTTGCGCATAGACAACGCAACAGACAGACCAGACCGTGCACCCGCCCCCGCCCCCGACCCGCTGAGCCCCAACAGCTGCTCGAAAACATGGCCGGCGTTTAATATTCCGCAATCATGCATACGACATGTTAAACGGTATGTGGTTGTGCGTGTGTAGCCATGTGTGTGTGTTCGTGTGAAAGTGTGTGGTGAAGTGCGAATTACAACACTTCCTGCTGTGTTTTGGCTTGGCTTTCTATTATCAGCACAAAACTTAACTATATGAACACATGTATCTCGTAGATTTGCCAGAGCCAAGCATCACCCACATTCGTTTCGTTTCGTTTTATCTGCAATTGCTGCTGCTGCTGCAATGTCAATGTGCATTGCCGACTCGTCGAATGGAGAAAAGCAAACATTTTCCATGCAATTTTCGTGCATGTGCAATGCAAAATTGCAATCTAATCAAGTTGAAAAGCCATACAATGCGTTTAATTGCTCGCAGCTGGCCGAGAACT